CCAAAACATGTACGCTTCCAAAAAGAACTTAGCATTCAAGTACATGCGAAATTTCTGGATAAAACCCTCTACCCATACTAATGCAAACGATTTTCCATCCTCACAAAGAATTTAGCTTTTGAAAGAGAAACTCATTTCCTATTTTAAATGCTAAATGTAATCAAAGTTTGACGGTAAAACCGATCGAGACTGATGCAACTCAGGAGCGCTCCACAATCCAGGGCACTTAAGAACATGTAACGTCTTACTCGTATTCGTTCATTCAAGCGGCTCAAATGCTGTCCACTTTGCGGAAGTGCCTGACCGTTATCACTGGCGCTGACACTCACAGCCTGCTCACATTCACGATACATCCTGTCCAGTTCGAAGTCACGTGCACGTATAAGAGACAACATCTGCAAGAATCACCCTCAAAATGGGAAAATTACAATCCGCTAACTCATCACTCACAGTGAGATGTCCAATTTTAATTAGCAATTTTTGTCTCAAATACCCACACAATCAAAAAGCCTGGTTTTTCGACACAGAAAATCCTAGACAGTTGCGGAGCATTTGCTGAAAATTGTTAGAAAATCGAAAAAGAACGATACTGTTTATTAAAATTAAAACAACAAATAAATAGGTACTTATCCGGTAAGGTGCCGAACATGTCTACAAATAGTAACATTGAAGACGATGCTTAACAAATGCCAGTAAAATTTTGGGACGATTAAAGTCTAGAAGCGATTCTGATCGGACAATCGTTCAGCTGGCTCTCTTCCTTTTTAACAATCCCTTCAGGAGGTGGTGGAATAAGCGCCGGAATAAGTGGCAAACTGTAAACTCAGCCACACAGCTGGAGGAACACGGCAAAACAGCAGCTGCTCCAAATTATTAGCAATTAACGCGGAAAATTACAAATAATTTAACAGGTGTGGATATATCAAGCAAAAATATGGGAAAATTACCAATTTCTCGGGGGAAGAAATTATTTTTTACTGATCCCTTGAAAATAGGTGCCCATTTCTTTTACCAAGTCGCTTCTGTGAAACTTTACACACAT